CCTAATTCCTTAACTGTTGGTACCATAACCCCCAAAATCAATCCCAACCTTCCTTTTGTGGTATTTAACCTTATGGTCAAATTTCAAAAAGATCCATTCACTTAAACTAAAGTTAGAGTGCGAAAACCAATATGTATTCGGACGACGACGCCGGACGACGACGCCGACGCCGGACGACGACGACGACGACGACGCCAACGTCATACCAATATACGACCACAAAATTTTTTTGCGGTCGTATAAAAATTACTTGATATTTAGAAGAAAATAAAAATTTTGCAATTTTGTGGTAATAAGCATTGTGTATAAGTTTCATAATATTTGGTTGAGGCAAACTCAAGTTAGAGAACGGAAACCAATTTGGAACGTACGTACGTACGTACATACAGACGGACAAGGGTAAAACTTTATGCCCCCACCTCTACGGCGGGGGCATAACAAAATGTATATATATATCATGGTGTTAGCCCTGTATAACCATGTGTTGTCTGATGGAGAAGGTTTGTCATAAAGTTGTCACATGTTTAAACGTGTATTATAAAATTAAAAATTTCATGTGGCAGCATGGTAATTCACATTAATTATCATCCTTTACGACAGACAATGTAGCTGATCTGAAAGGTACATCATCTACTTGCCACTATACATCATGCACTGTGTTACAACCCTAGATAAAGCCGAGGAGAAAAGGCATTACATTAACCACCAAAAGCTATATTTTTATGTAGCCTAGGTGGTTAAGTGGGCTAGGGCGCTGGACATGGTGCAGGCGGTGTTGCCACGATGTCACAGACGCAAGGGTTCCAATCCTGCTGAGGGAAATTTGCAGTAGCACATCTAACATTGTTGGGCTAAATTTGAGACGTTTTATATATATACCTAAATTTAGGTAAATTATATGGCCTTCCAAATACCGTTTCGATTCCTAACATCACTGAAGAGATATTACTTGTCGAAATCCGGATATGGTGTACAAATTTTTGCACCTCATGTTTGCAGTATACCATCTTTTCCGCAAGTTTATTATTTCTGTTTGGTATTAAATTAATAAATTAAATAAAGATCCATCTTTTTACATCTTGTGATCCGTTTATTTGGCAATCGCCAATGGCAGTCAGCAGGGTTTAAGAACATCCGTTGTTCGACCTGTTAGTCAAATGCGTTTTGTTAAAATATACTTTTTCACTTTTTTGGTCTTTTGGAAAATGTTGTTTGTGCTGTATTTAGACCCCTCTACTAAGAAATTTGTTTTGCATGCACAGGTATAAAAATTGCGGTTTTTATCCAACGCAATCATAGGTTTGAAAGTTGTTTTCAATTTAGACTTATTTATATTTTTTCGTTTGGGCTTGTATTATATTTGCCTTCGGGTTTATATGATCTGTTCATCCTATTTCGACTCTTTAAAATTCAAGAGTCTATCCTAAATTGACCCATGACCCCTAAAAATCAATCCCAACTTTCCCTTTGAAGTATGGAACCTTGTGGTAAATTTCATAGAAATCTATACTCTTATACACAAACTATTGTCCTGAAACATGAAAAATGCTTGTTTTTGGCCCTAAATACTAATATAAACAGCTATGACAATAACCCCCAAAATAAATCCCAACCTTCCTATTGTGGTATGGAACCTGAACAATTTTTGCTATTGTGCTAAAATTTAATAGAGATCCATACACTAATACTCCAGTTATTGTCTGTGAACCAGACAAATAATTGTTTTTGTTAGGCCCTTTTCGCTACACAGCTACAAAAATTTGGAATGAACTACCCTTGAGTTTTGGAGAAGATTACAATTTCAAGCAATTTTCTAAACTTTTTGTTATCTGGAATGGTAGTTCATGACAATTCAATGCCTGCAAATAAATTAATGCTTTAATTTAAAATGCTTTTCTGCTTAATGTGCTATATACCTGTATATATATAGCTGCTTATGTGTTTTAAACAGATCTGTATGCTTTTAATAATATTTGGTTACCATGCTCACTGCACTTTTAATATTTCTGCATAGTATGACATAATTTTTCATGTCATTTATATTGTGTATATACAAAAATGCGTGTTTCATGTAATGATTTGCTTTGATGGCTTTCATGAGCGCTATATATAACAATGCCATTTTCCATATAAATAATATTTCCAAGGGACATAACTCTTTTAAAATTGTTAATCTGCACTGATTTTCAAACTTGTTCATGACAATACTGATATAAACCTATGATGAAAGTTTTATAAAAAATCTGGCAAGAAATGTAACAGTATTTATATGTCCCTCCCTCAACCATGTCAACGTTTAGCGGGGGGAAATATATATATTACAGAAGTTAGAACAATCATTAGTCAACATTAATCAACAATTTTTCATATGACTTTGATCTTAATAAATTAATCTCTTCAAATAGTGTAATAACAATTGGTTACACACAAGCTGATTTCTAATTAAGCTAATGCACACAAACTTTTTAATTTAAAAGCTATAAAAGATACTTAAATTGAGAAATACATGAAATATGGTTTGATTTGCCAAATCCCTTCAATAAAAAGTTACTAATCTGTGGTTAATGATCATCGATACTTTTTCCAAAAAAAATATTCATTAGATCATCGAAATTTACACAACTTTTTTCATCAACCATGGTAAATCAATGAGACGAGGCTTTTACTGAATATGTATTAATTTAATTCGAAAATTAGTTATCAAAGCTACATGTATGTATTTAGCATGTTTAGTTCCTGCGCAATGAATTACATATGATATAATATATATATTTATCATATACTTGTATAAAATATTACTAAAATATTACAGTTCAATAACATTTAAAAATATTAAAAGGCTATGAAAGGATTACTAGGTTTATTGATCAGATAACTAAGAATTTCCTCAGCGGGCTGATAAAGGAACCTTTATTGATTGCTTCCGGAATGTTATCACATGCCTTTCCGTTAATTTCCGTGACGTTTATCACATGCAACGTCGTGCATTTCCGGAAATTTGTTCGAAAACGACAACACAGTGTGGAAAACCGCAAGTGATTTAAGACTTTTCACAAAATGGTTGAGGAGCAAATTTCAAACTAAGAACATGATAATTGTCATGATTGTTGTGACAAGATAAATAAAATGCTTGTAATATCAATAAAAAACAATTAAAGTTAAGAAATCTGTATTTGGTTGTCTGTTAATTATTATCTAAAAATTCATGGAAAGACAAAATTTTAATTAATAGCCTGCGGCTCTTGGGCTAATATCATGACCTAGGGCCGATAAAGTGTCTGATATGAAAAATGCCATGTAATAATCTATACATATATTCTTAGCACTTTATACAGTCAGGGGTGCTACTTAAACAAGTGATTTCATCATCACTTATTTCAGTGATTTGATAAATTCAGTTATCACCTATTTAAGTGATTTTAGTGTTTTCTTTGATCTTCAAATGCTAATTTCATTGATTTTCCATATTTTCACAATCTTTTCTATACTTTTCCTACATAAATCAATTATCCCTTTTTCTTTGTATATTAATTTCACCAGTGCGCTTGGGCAGTAAGTTGGTGCGCTAAAGCTTTTAAAAGTACCCTTGGGAATTTTTCTGTAATCAAAAATTCATTAACTACTCTTACTATCAGACAAAGATCAACAATATTAGGTAACCTGGTTGGTTTTCTTTAGAGTTAGAATGATCTACTTCAAGGTTTTGACCTGATCTACAAACTATTCCAGTTTTTACAAATTTTAAAAAAAACTGTAAAAGTGTCAGGCTTATCAAGCAAAAGACAATTTCTGCATGAACATAGTTATTTTTTTCAATGGAATTGTTGTCTTTTTACCAATAAAAAAATCAAGCTTGTGGGAAAAATATCAAGAAAATGTTATAAACACTTATTAAAGTGATTACATTTTAACTTCTAAAATTACTTATTTCAGTGATTTTAAAAAGTCTGTGTGAAAATTTTTAATTTTCACAGCCAAAATCACTCAAGAAAGTGATTCTGAAATCACTTGTTTAAGTAGTACCACTGACTGTTATACATGTTATATATACATATATCTATATATATATAAACAAGTCTAAATTGAAAACAACGTTCAAACCTATGATTGCGTTGGATCAAAACCGCAATTTTTATACGTGTGCATGCAAAACAAATTTCTTGGTAGAGGCCAGGGGTCTAAATACAGCAAAAACAACATTTTCCAAAAGACAAAAAAAAGTGAAAAAGTATATTTTAACAAAACGCATTTGACTAGCAGGTCGAACAACGGATGTTCTTAAACCCATTGCTGACTGCCATTGGCGAATGCCAAATAAACGGATCACCAGATGTAACAAAATGGATCTTATTTATTAGTTTAATACCAAACAGAAAACTTGTGGAAAAGATGGTATACCGCAAAGAAAAGGTGCAAAAATTAGTACACCATATCCAGATTTCGACAATTAATGTCTCTTCAGTGATGTTAGGAATCGAAACGGTTTTTGGAAGACCATATAATTTACCTCAATTTAGAATAGATATATATATATATATGTATTTGTCAAATGCGTTTTGTTTAAATGTTTAGTTTCTGCGCGAATTCCTAAGTGCCCACTAAAAATTAAAATATTTATGATTTAAGAAATAACAAACATATGTTACTACAGATTTAGAAAATTTAAGGAATAAAGAGTAGCATTGATATAGACAACTCATGAACTTATCTGTAATAACACATGCAAGATATTTTCCCTAATAACCCTATTATGGCCTATAGAGTTATATCCTTGAATGGCCTAGTTTACATAAACTGAAAAAAGTGTTGATATAAAAATTGCTTTTTTTAGAAAATATTGATTCGTGATGTTTTCGTTTCATGACACAAAGGGAAATAAACTTAGTTATTTGTTACAAAAGTATAAATTAACTATGTTTGACTAGTCATAGACTGGTTCTCCTGTCTAGATAAATGTGCATGTTACATATTTCATATATCAACAAGGTGATTATACATACATGTAGCGGGATCCCAGTCTAGACTAATCACACAATATTTTGTAATTCCGACTTTGTAATTCACCTAACCGGAAGCATCTAGTAGTAACTAAAATTAAAGACAAATCGGAAAAAGAGAATACATGTACTTTCCGGAACAATTACTTTAACAAGTAATACCTTTTCTAAAAAACTTGCCGTATTTTAGCTGATTATGTTAAGATCGGTGGTTTGTTGGTATAGGTTTTTTATTGGAATCTTGCACGCCAAGCAATATGAATATAGAGTGGGTGACGCATATTCGCCGCAAAATTCGTTCATTTCCACCAACATCCGACCTACATTCGAATATTTTAAACTTTTTATGTAGGTTTCAGAAAGTTTACTATATGAAAAAAATGTTTGATAAAGGAATTCTCTTCAAAACATTGTTTAAATGTTTTAAAATGAACGCAAACTTAAGAGGAAATCAAGTTGTTCTTGTACCATGGGGGACACATTTTTGCCGCAATGTATGATATGACCATCCTCATTATCCCTGTATATTATAAAAACAATTGTTTGCAATTACATGAATAAGCCTGAGAGATCACTCCTATATACGATTTTTCTAACAAATATTTACTTTATGACTGCGCATGCGTGCCATATAAATATTACATAATTGCCAAAATCGTTCAAAAACACCTGCGTATTTCTTTATATGTGCAAATAACATTGGAAATGGGGTAAGAGGAATATCAACAGTTCGAACATTATAAACAGCGTTTAGCATCTATTTAGGCAAGTATTTGGTAAAGGCACACGAAATTTACAGAAAAAATTGCAAAAACGGCGAAAATGTGTCCACGGCGGATATGCGCCACCCACTCTATAGTGTTTTTCTTCTCCTGGTTTTTGTTTTTAGTTGTAGTATTGGTGGATCAGGGTTATGATAGAAGGAGGCTTTATAGTTACATATGATATAATATATATATTTATAGGATTAAACACATTTTTTCTAGAGGTTATTGATGTGTAAACCGGGGCGATTAACTCACAAACTGAATAAAAGTCCGAAGGACTTTTATGTAAAGTTTGTGAGTTAGAGACCCGGTTTACACATCAATAACCTCTAGAAAAAATGTGTTTAATCCTTATAATTCTTAAGCCAAATATTTTTAATTAACATTTTTTTGTGTAAAGGCTACTATAATTACCATCAAATGAACAATTGGCAGGTCGTAACTAAGGAGTTGGCCGCCATATTGACTTTCTAAAATCCATAAATGTTCGATAAATGCAACGGAATCTAAAATGAAATAGCACCTACCTCCAAAACTTCATTTTATTTAGATATTATCCGAATTGAAAGCGTACAAGTAACGAAGTAATCTTTCCCTTGAAAGTTTTCATTCGTATGACGTCGTGTTTTGCCATGACGTAAACTCGCCAAATCATTCATGAAATTTCGCGGAATTTTATTTAAATTTTAATTTTATACATTTTCGAAGCTTTAGTGCATTTATTTTATTCATTTCTTGTTATAAATACATTAGAATAGAAACAACTGTTATGCATTTGTTTTTTTAATCTCAATTTGCTTAAATTCCCGGGATCCCTGCAAGCATGTGTATCGCGCATGAATAGATTACGAAAGTAGTTTCGGTAACATGGTTTATCGAAGTGTAAACCAACAGAAAAATTCTAATTGACCAATCCAATTCAAGTATTTATAGATATGCAAATCATATAAGAATTATATATATATATATATTCTTAGCACTTTATATATACATATATCTATATATATATAAACAAGTCTAAATTAAAAAAACAACGTTCAAACCTATGATTGCGTTGGATAAAAACCGCAATTTTTATACGTGTGCATGCAAAACAAATTTCTTGGTAGAGGCCAGGGGTCTAAATACAGCAAAAACAACATTTTCCAAAAGACCAAAAAAAGTGAAAAAAAGTATATTTTAACAAAACGCATTTGACTAGCAGGTCGAACAACGGATGTTCTTAAACCCATTGCTGACTGCCATTGGCGAATGCCAAATAAACGGATCACCAGATGTAACAAAATGGATCTTATTTATTAATTGAATACCAAACAGAAAACAATAAACTTGCGGAAAAGATGGTATACCGCAAAGAAAAGGTGCAAAAATTAGTACACTATATCCGGATTTCGACAATTAATGTCTCTTCAGTGATGTTAGGAATCGAAACGGTTTTTGGAAGACCATATAATTTACCTCAATTTAGAATAGATATATATATATATATATATTTGTCAAATGCGTTTTGTTTAAATATACTTTTTTTCACTTTTTTGGTCTTTTGGAAAATGTTGTTTTTATTGTCATGATTGATATGAACTTTATAGCTTGCTGGTCCTGCTTGTAATTTCTACTCAGTAAAAATTTCCTTTCAAATTACTATTTTCGTAGGGTCATTCTTCTAATCAGTTTTCGCTGAACAGGTCATAATTTTTATTAAGTTGACGAGTGGATCAACTTAAGTTTATAATTCTTGAAATACCCGCCCACCCAGCCCTATTTTGATTATATTTTCATTCATAATTTTTTCTCCCGTGTGTATATATATAGCGGGTTTTATGAAAGATAGGTTTTTTTACCTTCTGTTTGAGTAAGTAACTGTACATGTACTTGAATTGTGTTGTGACTGTCATTTGTTTTTTGTGTTGTGTGTATAGTTTATGTTGTTTAGACCTTTAAGCTTTTTTGAGATGCTGATCTAAGCCTAATAAATGTTTTTACATACTTTTCTTTTGTTTGAAATTTATATATGTTTGAGGGTTTTTTTGTTGTTTTTTTTTTTGTTTTTTTTGTGGACTGTTTTTGTGTGAGCAGGTTTACATTCGGCTTATATTTACATGAAAAGAACATTACACATCGAAATGTTGGTTTATTTGTTGTCGTGAACATGAAATATTTGCTTCCGGACTGACATTAAGCCGCGAGTCACCCATATCGAACCGGAAAGCATTAATAATAGATCAATATTACATATGGTGTAGCATTCTCCTGTTTTCATTGGATATTACGATCACGTGTTTAAAAGGTTATTTTATGTATCCGAAGCCTTGTTTCGATTTTTAAGTATGTTGATGCTATGTTTATATTTATATGTTAGTATATTGACGGTCAATATGAAAAATCTTGCTAAATTTAGATTCATGACGTCATGACGTCACACATAACAACCATGGAGGAAGCGCCGCAGCAGTTGAAAAGAAAAGTTGCAAGTTTATCACAAGAAGTTTTATGTTAAACGCAGACGCTAAGAATATAAGAAAGCTAACGCAACAAGCTATGAAGTTGTTCAAAGAATATTGATATTTTCAATAACATGTTAAACTCTTGCAAAATACAATTTAAAAATACACAGAAAGAACATTGAACACATTTTTTCTTATACATTATTTACTGGCATATATAATATATAATTAAGGACTTTCACTCAGTCAATACGTTATATATTGACCTGTTAAATTATATTGACACTCGGACTTCGTCCTCGGTTCAATATAATCTGAACAGGTTCATATATAACGTATTGACCTCCTCAAAAGTCCATAATTGATAATTATTTACGCTTTATTTCGCTGTCAGGTCTGGGTATGAATGTGTAAACCTAGGTTTGTAACGAGGGATGGCTGTCTTCTCGGGTGAACTGGGAGGGTTGGGGGATAACTACAGTTTGTTTATGTGAGAAAAATTCAGGGCATTTTTGTGAGTTTCAAAAAATTCGGTTGGCATTGGTCTTTCGGGTCTGCAATGGTCTTGAAAGCAGATTTCAGGTAGCCTTTTTGTCGGAATGTCAGATTTCGGGTACGTGTTTTGTAATTCTATGCAAATTCCCATTTGTCACATGTTTGTAAATTCTTAAGTAAAATTTTCTTGGATTTATGTCAAGTTAAATTCGGATAATTTAGGGTATGATCTGTTAATTTTCTTGATACTCTAGGGTCTCTTAAATTAAATATGCAAATGCTGGAAAATTTCTGATCTTTTTTAGTGAAATCAATCGGATTATTTCGGGTCGGGTTTTACAATTTCAATTTATTAAGGATTTGAGTACGCCATGGATGTTATCCTCAGTGGGATCAACTACTCCGCTATGCACGCGATAATAAGCAGAAATTGCTAAAATTCTTAAAAATAAAGCCCACTGAAGTGGAATTTATCTTGGGTTTAAATCTCATTTCCTCCGCCGAGTATGCCTCCACTTAGTAATCGTACTGTATATAGGTATATTACAGTCTGCTGGTGAAGAAAAATGCGGTTTAGGAACATTTGAGTAGCCCTAAATTAATCAACATTTTGTAACCATTTAACTGCATACTTTTCTTTGCTCTCAAAAGAATGGTTACATTTCAATGAAATTTCATGTTGCGTTTCTGTCATATATGATACATTTTAATTATACAGCATTTAGCAACGTGTCGACCACGCTCACATATTTTTCAGTGGTATTTTTCATTACGGCAATAACGAGCATGTCATCTATACATATTCCATAGTTGATACAACCTCGGAGTTAAGCAAGATAGTATAACTTTATAAGTGGTTGTTTTTGGTTTTTTTTTTTTTGCACAGACTGCTAAATACGAATATAACTTTGTAGAGGAGATAAATGCACCAGATATAAGTTTTATGAGAATTCTTCAGGTCAGAAAACAACAATGATGTAAATTAATATACGTGATATGCACCTTTATAATAATATATGTATATACGTTTCGCGGATATATTTGTTATGCAATGCTTTTTAAACTTTTTTCGTATTTCCTGTCTATTTGTATTGTGATTTTAACATTGGTACGGATATTTCATTGTGTTCTAGCAATGTACAATTTAATATGCATGTCCTATACTTTAGTTCTCAATATTTTTGGGGTGAAATCATAGATTTTTTTATAAGGTCAAATTCAATTATTTTTTTTTCATTCTGTGTTTAATTTGGATGCAACAGTATGTGAAGGTAAATTCCTGGGCAGAAGGGCAAAAAGGAGGAGGGATTATAAGTGGCACTATCAGATCTATTTATGTCCCAGGCAAATGATAAAAAAAACTTGCCCAACGTTTAGCATAAAACTATTAATTTTCAATATTATTAGGATTGAAGTAGTTTGCTTCAAAATATTTCAAGCTACTAAATTTAATGAAGATTATTTCTCAATCACGGGGAGTGGGGGTCGATCTAAACATGGGATTTTGGGTACAGTAGTGCAGCTGGGAAAACACACAAATTTCATGAATTAAAACCTTAAGAAAAAATCACGACACTTAATATGTTTCCGATGGCAAAATCATGACCCATTCACAGTATTATACAATGTAAATATTATATTAAAATTTTGTCTTTGGCAAATCATAATTTTACTATAACAACTCTTGTTATAGTAAAATTATGAATTGCCAAATTAAAGACAAAATTTTAATTTAACATAAATAAGAGGATGTGCACGGTATGAGTGCTAATGAGACAACTCTCCATCCAAGTACAAGTTTTGATATCGTAATTTGAATAAAAACGATAAAACAGCATTTAAACAAACATCTATTATAATTCGGAGGATGAAAATTACTGACCCATTGATATTTGACCTCAGTGAAATTTAGTGTATGCCATTAATACAATTTAAATATAAAAAGGGGACCCATTCCTGCGGCACGTCTGTGTATACCTTCATTTAGTCATAGAACCCCAAATCTAGATGGAGACCCACGTGCGTGTCCTCAGTATCCCAGTTCTGAAATATAGTCCCATTTATAATATTTATCTCTAGTGTACCACCTTATTTTCTTTCTAGGGTAATATTTTACCGTAAAAACTTTTATCATTCAAAACGACGTGTGAAAACTTAACGCTTAGGCAGTATAAAGCACCAGAATGTACCGGATTTAAGTTAAAATTGTAAAATAAATATAATTATTTATTTCGTTTCGTTTAAATTTGCTGTATTTCGTTTCGTTTTGAGCTATTTCGTTTCGTTTCGTTTTGTTCCGTTCCGTTCCATTTATATTTCGTTCCGCACTTTAACCCTTTTTGTTATAGAATTTTGATTCTTAATCTAGTAACATTAAGGGCTTTTAACACATGCATGTGACACGAGTGCTCCGATAACGGAAGATGTGTTATTTCTCAATAGAACGTAGAATATGAATTACAAAATTGTGTTAATTGCTTGTAGATAAGCTTTATCATATTTTAGAAGTTGCTCTAACATGTTATTATGCCTTAAATTTTTGCATGTGTGCTATATTTTATTTGTGCTTAATTTTAGTTGTGCTTAATTTTTAGTTGTGCTTCAGCTTTGGCTTTAGATATGTATTTTAAAAGTGCTTTGCATGTATTTCGATATGACTGTGCTGTTATATATCCTGTCTGCATGTTGTGTGTTTTAATGTTGTGTTTGTGTTACCTTATATTCGGTAAAAAGCTCTTAAGAGCTTATGTTTGTATTGTTATATGTGAACCGAATCAAAATAAAACTTTCGTATTCGTATTCGTATTCGTTATCAGGCTATACTATCATGACTATCGAAATTATTGATCGACGCTTCAACCCGAAATTAATTTTCAAAAATAATATTCAAAGAATTATTGTAATGCTTTTTTCTTATTTTCTTATTCAGGGTTATATCTGGTCTATATACCAGCTTTGATAAGAGTTTACTATTACTATAAACTTTCACTCCTTCGTACTATGAACATCAAAATTATTTATTTTGTAAAAATATTTCCTTTCTCCTTTTGAACTCTACACGTATACCTAACAACAAAATTATTGTCATTTACCTGTGTTTAAAGTAATTGCAAATGGCTGATATTTTTGTTCAAGCATATTGTTTTTCTTAAATTGTTTAACATTTCACAGCGGTATAACATGTTACTTTAATTATTCTTCCCTTAGTTTATTTATTTTGTATTTACATTGTATCATAGATCAAATTTATTTGTTCAGCGTATGTTCACTAGTGTTAATATGTCTTTTGATTGAGTTAAGTCATTTCAATTGATATTTTATATGTTGTGATACTACACTATTGTTTCAGATAAGGGAGAAGGTTTGGTACCATTAAAACGTTTAAACCCGCTGCAATTGTTTGCAACTGTCCTAAGTCAGGAATGTGATGTTCAGTAGTTGTCGTTTGGTTCATAAGTGTTTATCGTTTCTCGTTTTTATATAGATTATACCGTTGGTTTTCCCGTTTGAATGGTTTTACACTAGTAAATTTTTGGGGCCCTTTATAGCTTGCTGTTCGGTGTGAGCCAAGGCTCCGTGTTGAAGACCGTACTTTGACCTATAATGGTTTACTTTTATAAATTTTGACTTGGATGGAGAGTTGTTTCATTGGCACTCATACCACATCTTCTTATATCTATTAAAAAGGTGATAGTATAAAAATCGTATAAGAAACAAATAAGTAGTGAATAAGTAATAGGGTACGTATCAGTCGAGCGACGAAACGGGTAAATACGCGCTAAGAAGGTAATTTTGCCCCTACAAACCATTAAAATCATTCCATACACCAGGAACATATATATTAGATATACTGTTCCCAGCATACACCAAATATATTGACCTATTGCTTATAGGATCTAAATAAACTGACGAAAACTTATCATTGACCAATGAACCATGGAGTTGAGATCCAGGTCATATTAACCCTGCTAGGCAGACATGTACACCCTAAAATCGTTCCATACACCAAATATAATTGACTTAGGGAGCTACCATTTGATTTAATGGGGGGGGGGGGGGGGGCTAGGATGAAATTTGAAAAAAAAAGGCAGGATAGGAGTTTTGAGTAAAAAAAAGGCACGATGAGCAACTTGGCAAAAAAAAGGCAGGATGACAATTTATGTAAAAAAAGTCCGGATAAACTAATAAAAAAAGGCAGGACCGAATAGAGAGAAAAATAAAAAGGCAGGACAGAGATTACAATTAAAAAAAATAGATAAAATAAATGAACCATGAAAAAGAGGTCAAGATCAGATTACACCTGTCAGTTGGACATGTACATCTTACAATCATTACATACAGCAAATACAGTCATGACAGTAGACCTTTTGCTTATAGTATAGTATCTGAGATATGGACTTGATCACAAAAACGTAACCTTGTTCACTAATGCATGAAATGAGATCGAGGACAAGTGAAAACTGTCTGACAGTCATGAGGACCTTGCAAGATATGCACATATCAAATATAGTTATCTTATTACTCATAACAAGAGAGAAATTAACTTTACAAAAAATCTTAACTTTTTTTTCAAGTAGTCACTGAACCATGCAAATGAGGTCAAGGACAATGGACAGACGAAAACTTCATAACATAAGGAATCTATATACAAGGTATGAAGCATCTAGGTCTTCTACATGTTCTACTCTCTGAAATATTAAGCATTTAAGTAATTAGTTAACGCCGCTGCCAGAACACTATCCCTATAATGTCTCGCTTTCTGCAACAGGCGAGAAAAAAATCAAGTTGAATATGCTGTTGAATAGCTAAGTTTGACTATAAAACACATTTACACAGACTTACTTTTAAAAGAAAATCCTTTATTTTATCCAAATCCTTAGAAATGTACTGCTATTGAATTATTGTCTTCCTGACTCTAATTTGCCAATATCCTTTCCATTTTCAGTAATCCGAACCATGACACCATCCGTTAGAAACTATGCAACCAAACAGCGCAAGTGCGAGGGAAATACCGCAATGAAAGAAATGCTTAAGGTGGAATGAAGATAGTATGAATCGTTTTTGAAAGACAAAATAATAAAACAAGTTTATTAACAACTGGTATGACAAAGTTTAATTAACAAATTAGAATCCATGGAAAATATAAAAAAAAACATGTATACATCTCAGCCTCTATCAACTCCCTTATTTTCCACATGCTCCATTATTCTGTGATAATTGTTAATCATTATCATGATCTGTAAACACTTAAACCTGAACTCAATGTTAATGTACCTGTCTGCAGTCAGGTCATTGTCACATCCTGTGTGTGGAACACCTGCAGTCAATTCACAGTCATGTTATGTTAACGTCTGGAACACCTGCAGTCAATTCACAGTCACATTATGTTAACGTCTAGAACACCTGCAGTCAGGTCACAGTTACATTATGTGTGGAACACCTGTAGTCAATTCACAGTCACATTATTTTATTGTCTGGAACACCTGCAGTCAATTCACAGTCACATTATGTTAATGTCTGGAACACCTGAAGTCAGGTCACATTCTGTATATCTGTGAAACAAATTCACTGTGCAGTGAAGTCACATTCACATTCTCCATATGTGTCGAACAGTTGCAGTCAGGTCACAGTAACATTCTATTTACCTGTGGAACTCTTGCAGTCAGGTCACAGTCACATTCTGTGTGTGGAACACTTGCAGTCAGGTATTAGACACATTATGTTTATGTGTGGGAACCTGCAGTTAGGTCACCGTAACATATATTTACCTGTCGAACACTTGCAGTCAGGTCACAGTCACATTATGTGTGTGGAACACTTGCAGTCCGGACTTAGTCACATTATGTCTATATGTGGAAAACCTACAGTTACCGGTAGGTCACAGTAACATTCTATTTACCTGTGGAACACTTGCAGTCAGGTCACAGTCACATTCTGTGTGTCGATCACTTGCAGTCAGGTCATAGTCACATTATGTCTATGTGTGGAAAACCTGCAGTTAGGTCACAGTTACATTATATTTACCTGTGAAACACTTGCAGTCAGGTCATAGTCACATTATGTCTATGTGTGGAAAACCTGCAGTTAACTAGGTCACAGTAACATTATATTTACCTGTGGACGCTTGCAGTCAGGTCATAGTAACATTTTTGTGTGTGGAACACTTGCAGTCAGCTGGTCATAGTCACATTATGTCTATGTGTGGAAAACCTGCAGTTAGGTCACAGTAACATTATATTTACCTGTGGAACACTTGCAGTCAGGTCTTAGTCACATTTTTTGTGTGGAACACTTGCAGTCAGGTAGCAGTCAATTCTGTGTGGAACACTTGAGTCACATTCTGTATGTGGAACACTTGCAATCAGGTCACAGTACATTTTTTCTATCATTTGTATGTGTCAAACATATGAAGTCATGTCAGTTACATTTTGTCTATCATTTGTATGTGTCAAACATGTGAAGTTATGATACAGTTACATTTTGTCTATCATTTGTATGTGTCAAACATGTGAAGTCATGTCACAGTAGCATTCTGCCTATCATTTGTATGTGTCAAACATGTGAAGTCTTGTCAAAGTAACATTCTGCCTATCCTTTGTATGTGTCAAACATGTGAAGTCATGTCACAGTAGCATTCTGCCTATCATTTGTATGTGTCAAAAATGTGAAGTCATATATCACAGCAACATTCTGCCTATCAGTTGTATGTGTCAAACATGTGAAGTCATATATCACAGCAACATTTTGCCTATCAGTTGTATGTGTCAAACATGTGAAGTCATATGTCACAGCAACATTCTGTCTTTCTGAGGAACACTCGTAGTCAGGTCACAGTTACATTTTACACACTATTTCTGCCTGTGGAACACTTGCAATCAGGTGACAGTATTATTGTCTGTCATTTGTGTATACATGTAGAACACATATAGTCAGGTCAAAGTCACATTCTGTCAGTGTGTTGAACACATAGTCAGGTCACAGTAATATTCTGTCATCTGTGGAACACTTGCAATCAGGTTACAGTCACATTATGTCTATCATTTGTATATGTAGAACACATAGAGTCAGGTCAAAATAACATTCTGTTAGTGTTTTGAGCACAAATATTCAGGATACAGTCACATTCTGTCAGTGTCTGCTATGCTACAGTCAGTTGATACTAAAAAATTAAAATGGATTTTGTGGGAACAGGGGAACCAAGAATTTAAATGTTCAACGAATTATAAATTTTCTAAAGGAATACAGAGGAATGTATGCAGACTTTGCCAAAACATGCAAAATAACGAAATTAAATATCCACGAAAATGCAAGTTTTCCTCAATCCACGAAAATTGGTACCCACGAAAATAAATGAATACACAGTATATTTTACCAATATATATAAATATTTCTAAGAACATGTCTGCCTGTGTAAATCTAGAGTCTTTTGGTCCTTAAAATCTGAATTACATAGAAAACAGATATACACTGTATGATTTTCTTCACAATGAACACGCAGATGCTTGCTTGAATGAAGTATTTTCCGACAGACCGGGCAGCAATATCCTTGACCCTTTATATACACACAGGCAATAGAATGTTGCCACAAATCATCCATATTTGCGAAGAATGCTGGGCAGACAAGACACTGATAAGGAAAGTGCTTGGATTTAGCGTGAAGAGAAAAATCCTCAAAACATTCATTTTTCTCCCCACATAATATGCACCTCACAGTACCAAAACCAGTTTTTATAATTTCAAAATGTACATTTTTACTCAACTTAAACTGAGTTATTAAATGTCTGTAATTTGTGTTGATTTTTTCTGATTTGTGGTCTTCCTTTTCCTCTTCCTTTTTAACCTGATCACTTTCACATTCATTTTTATGTTGCAGTAAAGAATTCACTGTAGAGAAAGTTGTTTTACAACATGAATAGGGATGCTTTTTTTCTATCTTTCTTTTCCTTCCTTTCTGCGGAATATCCACATTCTCTACCTGAGAATTAGAATTCATTGCATTAATATCACAAGTTACGTTGCTTTCACCTTTACTTTTATGTATCAGCCAATCAGAGCAGGGAAGCATATTTGTTCCATTCTGTACGAAATCCACACTCTCCACTTGAGATTTAGATTTTTTTGCATGAAAGGTAGTTACTTCCCTTTCACATGTGTTATGATGTTTGATTAAGTCAATCATTCTAGGAAAAGCACTTGTACAATTGCCACATGCATAATTATATTTATGCCAGTTTTTCTCTTTGATCTCCTGAATTTGCTCTTTTATTGAGCGGTTAGAATCTTCAACCAAGATAACTTGATCCTCTATGGTAGTTTGACTTGGACCATCATCATCAATAGATGCAGTAGACGCTGTATAACTTTGATTGTACTCCTCAGGTAACCCAGAATTCTTTATTGGAAATATGTTCTCTTGTTTTCTAACATCAGTTATGCACCTGTTTATCATTTTGTTTATTAAAAGGTTTCGAAAAGCAGATTGGGCTTCTAAAGCTTTGCCATCAGAAGGTCTATTGGTCCTAATTTCTTTGCCATTAGATGTTCTGCTGGTCCCTATTTCAATTTCTACTTTCTGTAATTCCCCAGTTACTTGGTTATACATGAATACAGGATGTCCTATTTGAGTCTTTTCTTTTTCTGGATGACCTTGAACTTGGTCACACACCTTTGTATATTCTATCTCTTTTTCTTTGCTTTCTTTTGTTTCTAGGTTATACAGGACAAAAGAAGTTTCCATGTCAGATTCAGTTTTTTTTGTTATCTTAACATCATAAGTGTCAGGAAGATCATCTGTTTCAGAAGTCATCCTACGTACACATGGCCATGTTTCTTCAGGGGTCATTACACCATGTACACGTAACCTTGACCTATCGACATAACAAGGAAGTTTAAAATGAACTGTTTGTGCATGTTTTTCGAACTGATTTCTGTATTGAAAAATCTTTCCACAGAGCAAACATTTGTATTTGAATACCCCATCTTCTCTGATTTTGAAATGCTCCCCTTCTTTTAAAAGATAACCCATTTTCCTAATTTTTGTTGGTCTACTTTTCTGAGGTTTCATCTCTCTTTGATGTGTTTTACTAGTTTTTGCTGCCTCAAAATCTATTTCTTTAACTATTGATTCTCCTTCCAAAAGTTTTTCGGCCCCAGCCTCTGTTTCACTTTCTATAATAGTAGCATTCATTTCAGCCTTTATAATAAGTACCTCACCTGTTTCTGGTTTCAACAAGGTAAAAGTTTTAGTGCAGGCATTGTTGTTTTCTGGTACAGGTGTGTCTGTTATTGGCAGGGAAGGCATTCCGTTACCAGTTTCTACATGTCTGTTGTCCTGTTTCCCTGATCCAGGTTTATATAGTGACAAAGTATTTGTACTGGTTCCTAGTGGCTCTGTAGAATGTTGAATATGCATCATGTTAGCTGTTTGTTGGAAAACTGCAAAATAAAACATTTTATTATTTGTCTGATGAGGTTTAACACAACTTTCTTTATATGCATTCATTTATAAAATTCATTAGCTGTCAAATTTTGTTGGGAGGATCAAGAAAGGCCGAAAGATACCCAAGTGATATTCTGACTCATGAAAGTGGAAGACACACTGACAATGCCATGACAAACTAGAGGCTCTAAAGAGCCTGTGTCGCTCACCTGTATTTACTGATGCTTTGGAAATCATGTAAAATAAGGTTAAAATCATAATTAATAGTATTAGATATTAGATAATATTATAATGATATCTAAGATAATAACAAAAAACTGCAAAATTTTTGTAAAATTACTAACTCAGGGGCAGCAACCCAACAACGGGTTGTCGGATTTGTCTGAAAATTTCAGGGCAGATAAATCTGATGAACATTTTTGCCACTGTCAGATTTGCTCTAAATGCTTAAGTTTCAGAGATATAAACCAAAAACTGCATTTTACCCCTTATGTTCTATTTTTAACCATGTAGGCCATGATGGTTGGAAGGCAGGGTCATCGGACAAATTTTTTAAACAAGATACCCTAATAATGATTATGGCCAAGTATGGTTAAATTTGTCTCAGTAGTTTCAGAGAAGAAGATTTTTGTAAAAGATTACAAAAATTTACAAAAAATTGTTAAAAAATTGACTATTAAGGGCAATAACTCCTAAAGGGGTCGACTTACAATTTTGGTCATGACAACTTATTTGTAGATCTTACTTTGCTGAACATTATTGCTGTTTACAGTTTATCTCTATCTATAATAATATTCAAGATAATAACCAACATGACCAAAAACTACAAAATTTCCTTAAAATTACCAATTCAGGGGCAGCAATCCAACAACAGGTTGTCAGATCTTGACCTGATAATCAGTTTTACCCTATGTCAGATTTGCTCTAAATGCTTTGGTTTCAGAGATATAAGCCAAAATCTACATTTTACCCCTATGTTCTATTTTTAGCCATGGCGGCCATCTTGGTTGGTTGACCAGATCACCGGACACATTTTTTAAACTAGATACCCCAATGATGATTGTGACCAAGTTTGGTTAAATTTGACCCAGTAGTTTCAGAGGAGAAGATTTTTGTAAAAGTTAACAGACGATTCCTGAATGTAGAGCACATTTAAAAAAGTTTCTCCCTAAGTTATTTGTTTTCAGATTTGACTGAATTTTTGACTGTTGAATACAGAAATGTCTGTAGTACTTGGGAACTATGGTAAAGCCCTATATTTGTATTTGATTTATTGTGTAGTTGGTCAACAGTCTGATTGATATATACTCCAAATATCATTTTATTTGCATCACCACAGTAATTTTTAACAGGAAACTGTCAAATTTTGTTGCATATGGATAGATTGAGGGCACCATGTCAGTTCTGCAAAAGAATTATATTGAAACTTAAATCTGTTACTCTTTATGGTGTACATGTAGGTTGTAATGCGGCTTTATGCCTCTACAGATATAGATGTAGGCCACTTACTTTCATATCAAAGTGCATGTGAGCATTGAAGGGTTATATACTTAATTTAATGTCAAACTGCTTGTGAGCACTGCAAGAAGGGTTATGATTGTCATGATTGTATTCATTTTTGCATTATTGTACAAATTTATGTTCCATGAATTATATTGTTCGATATAAATAATGTTGAAAACAACCAGATATATTTTGGCTCTGTAAAATCACAGAAAATAAAAAAGAATCAAAAGAAAGGCTTTCAAAAAACGTGAATATTTGAAAGCTTTGACAATGTTTGATGTCTTAATTTGAAAATGACATCAAAATATCTTTTATCTTCACAAATTTCAAGAACGTTTTTAGCTAAATAAAAGAACAGAGTTCCAATGTTCCCCGCATTGCACATATTTTATATTTCGAAATATATATATTTTTATATAAATTATATTTATTTAAAAAAATTGATCGTCCACCATTATAGAATTTGTCCGAGACATTGCTGATATTAACCTATAGTATAAGTTTTATAAAAATCTGGCAAGAATTGTACCTGTGAGAGCGCTACCGAGGCCATTTTTCATAAAATTAATATTTGCAAGGGGCATATAACTCTTTAAAAAAAAGTTGATCGGCCACCATGATAAAACTTGTCTGAGATATTGCTGATATTAACTTACAGTATAAGTTTTATTAAAAGCTGGCAAGAATTGAACCCGTGAGAGTGCTAACAAGACAGGACGGACGGACGCCCAGTATTTCCATGTCCCCCGCAACGCGTTACGCGGGGGACAATTAACATAGAGCACAAATGTTGCCCAAAATCATATATTTTTCAGTGAATGGATAAACACAAAATACACTATTTTTTTTGGCAAAGACGGTACTCTCTGAAATTTCTAAGCAAGATAAATCATGATAAATAGTCATATTTTTAGGTAAAATCAACATTTTGTTGAATTTTCTGTTATTCAATGGATGAATAACCCAAGAAAGGGTTTATATTCAAACCTAAAACTGCAATGTTTTATTATTAAAGTATATTTATTAAAATTCTGATACTGCAAAGTAGAGACATACTTGATTTTAGGGCAAATTTTAACCCAAATAATATGTTCTCCATAATTTTCTCACCTGCTGAAGGTAGCTTTAATACTTCAGTATCTGTTATATATTCTGAAGAATCTGGTTCCTTTTTCAACATCTCTATCTTGTCAAAGTCAGGCAAGGAACTTTCTATTTTTACTACCCTATGTCCATCATCTTCTAACATGTCTATAAATTGATTTTCACTTTTTACAGTCAAATTTTCATCAGTATCAGCCATCAGATATCCCATATTTACTGAGTTAGGAGACCGAGGTTCTGTTTTAATGGTAACATGGTTGTCATATTTAGGACAGTTATACTCTACATGTAATTTTACATCCTGATTGAGTGCAAGATTCATCTCATGTTTATTTAAATCTGTATGAGTTTCCATGGTTACAACATCTTCTAAAATTCCTTCTGAATGGTGTTGTTCTGTTTTGATGTGCATTGCTACCAAATTTTTTGTTGTTGATATAAATTCACTTGTCAAATCTACTTTTTTTTCCTAATGAAAAAGTCCATTCTGTATAACTGTCTAGGTTAGCATGGTTAGGTTCTATCCTCTCTATATTGATGATATTTGTCTATGATGTTTTTGTTATTACTTTGACTGAGTAATCTAATGTTTTAAAGTTAACGTTGTAACACACATCATCTGGCCATATTCTGTAAAATAAAATAAAAAAAAGTCACCTCTTTCAACATGTTGAATTGTGTTTATAAAATATAATGCATATGGCTACGGGGAGAAATAGTGAACTGTGCATTGTTTACCAAATATACTTTTAGGATATTAATCAAGATTTTTATCTTAGTATAATTACATACACTATATGCATGTATCTATAATTACATGTACATTAGTAATTAACATGATTAATAAGTAATACTATATGCATTCAGATTAAATGACACAGATATATTTATCTCACAATAATTAAGACTTTTGTCTCTAAATGTGGATGACATGCCCCCTTAGGGTGTTTATTTAGATTGTATGGTAATTAATTCTTACCTGATTCATTGATAACCTACACTTAAATGCACTTTTTTAAAATTTGGATTGATTCAAACAAAGCTGGGAAACAAGCCATTTTTGTAATTTTGATAGTGCAATGATAATGTTGAAATTAATAAATGGTAGAATGCAAATTTATGTTGAAATAAAAATGGCAATATTTAAACATATCAACCATGCAAAGTCAATGAACCATAACTGAAGGTGCAGGGCCAAATAACTTCCATTGAAATGAGAAATGCTAATGCTTTTTAACAGCATGCCAAATACCATCAACTTATCATAAGTGGTTCCCTTTCAACCAGAATCTAAACACAAACTTTATCTTGTAAACTTTCCAAAACATTCAAAGTCAGTAGACCATGTCTGAGAAGGTTGAGCCAAATGATCTGGAAATGAGTTGTGCTGATGCTAATACCACTGAATACCAATTATCATTGACCTACATGTACCACTAGTGGTTCTCCATTAACCATTAAAGGTTATGGTCAGATGATACATGCCAGACAGTTGAACATCTTAAAACAGGTTGGGAGAATACTCATAAATGAGTACTATTCTCATTTACGGGTATTATACACCAAACCGGGTATCAATTTTCAGTGATAAAAAATATAAACTTTGGATTTACAGATATATTTTCTGTCATGGTGCAAATATTAAGGTAAAGGACATTACATTTGGCCTGAAGACACCATGACTGAAATATCATCAGGATAGTTAACAGCCTTCAAAAAGTGGGATGTTTGGAGGGCATTATGTTTGTATTTAGTTCTCATTTGACCTATGGTCTTATTAAAGGGAAAAATGTTGCCATTTATATGAATATTTGCGTCATGACAACTATCACGATGAAATACAAAATTTTGTTTTTTATCACTGTAAATTGATACCCGATTTGGTGTATAATACACATAAATGGGGATAGTACCCATTTATGAGGATCTTCCCCAACCTGTAAAACAATATGTGTAGTTAATTTCCTGCAAAAAAACTTCTGTCTATTTATCAATGTCTATCCATCTTCATATTTCCGCACTCAGTCACAACTTTGACTATTATGTGCCGTTTCATGCGTGGCTTATGTACAATTTAAAGAAATAAATTTTTCAGTAATATTACGTTACATTGATGAACAGAAAAAATAAAATATATTACATGATTTTTTAATTTTTTGTGGATTGTTATCCTATGTATATTTTTTGGTAAAACTATAAAACTATGTACATGTTATGCAGTGTTTAAAATATTTGTGAAAAAGCAGACATAGAAATCTGCTCTTTGAAGCTGTCAACTGTTGTACAAAGGATTGCTGATGTTGGAAGTAGGTTCCATTGTACTATTGTCTGCGGATAAAATGAGAATTTATAGGAATCTTTATTGGTTTGATTTTGTTTATAGTGGTTGGTATGCTTATGTCTTGTTCTGCTGTCTGATGTAATAAGAAGATCTTTAGGGTAGATTGCTAAATGTTGATGTATAATTTTATAGAAAACCACTAGTCTTGTTTGTATTCGTCTCTTTTGTAATGTATAGGCCACTGTTGTTGTTCGAGCATATTTGAGACAGAGCTGGTATTGTGGTATTTATTACATGTATGGCTGTCAGCTCCTTGTTGGACCATCTCAATTTGATTGATTTGATTTTTGTTGTGAGAGTCCCAGACACAAGAGCTGTACTCAAGCTTAGATCTAACTAATGACATGTATGCCCTTTCTTTTATTTGTTTGGAAGAAAAATTTATAGCTGTCGATTTGCGTTTGCTGTTATATTAACTACATGTTTATTCCATTTGAGATCTGATTGGATGGTTATGCCTTAATATTTTGTAGCTGTTTCAGTTTGTAGAATGTGACCATGAAGGATGTAGTCATGGTTGACTGGTTTCTTTTTTGGTGTAAATTCTTAGTATGGAGCATTTGTCCGGATAGAATGACATTAATCAGTCTTTTTCTCATTGTGGCATTGAATCTAAGTCCTGTTGTAATTTGGATGCATCATCTTTGTTTTTGATGTTTCTATAGGTGAATGCTGCCATCAGCAAATAACCTTAAGGTGTTATGTTGTAAATGAGGAATAAAATTGGGCCAAAGACGGTGCCCTGTGGCACTCCAGATGGTACCCCCGATTTTTTCTGATTGTTCTCCATCTAGCATGACTGTCTGTGTACATTGATGTAAAAAATCAGCCGACCGTGCAAGGGCTGTATAGCCAGTCAAGGTCGTTAAAAACTTCCATTTGTTGTAAAAAATCATCAATCCATTCCAAGGTATTGTTGTCTATGCCATAGTATTGTAATTTATACAGTAACCTTTTGTGAGGGACTTTGTCAAAAGCTTTGGCAAAGTCTATCACAATGTCATCAGTTTGTATGTTGTTATTGTCTTTTGCCAGGTCCTGTATGAAAGATATTAATTGTGTCTCACATGATCGTTTAGATTGAAAGCCATGTGAGGAACATATTGTTTTTTTCAAGATGTTCCATTATTTGACTAGCTATGATCATGATGATATGCTCCATTAATTTGCAAAGTATACATGTAAGTGAAATTGGCCTGTAATTTATGGCATTGTGTTTGTCTCATTTTTTGAATGCAGGACAGACATTTGGATGTTTCCAGTCTGTAGGTATTTTATGAGTGTTCATTGACTTTTGGAAGATGAGTGTGATGATAGGACTAAGATGATCTTTCATTTCCTTTAATACCTCTCCACATAGTTCATCAGGGCCTTACAGTGGCTTTATTTGGATTGATGTTATGCAGTAATTTGTTGACACCCTTTTCTGATATTTTAATTACATTCATTTGTGCATGTGATGTTAGGTCTTTTACTGGTATTGGGTTTGCAGATGATTCAGTAGTATGCTTTTTGGAATTGCTCGTTGAGGATGTTTGCCTTATCTTTGGTGTTCGTTATGAGCAATCCATCTTTTTTTAGTGCAGCTACACCAGAATTATCATTTCTCATGCTTTTGATACATGTATATGAAAACAGATTTTTAGGTGTGTGCTTTTTATTGGTGCTATCAAGTTCTTCAATTGGAAGGTCTAATATCATGTTTTATTGTTCTCGATGTAATGCCAATAAGCCAAGCGCATGTCTACCTGCAATGTTTTTTTCATATGTTTGTAACTATAGTTTAACTGTTTAATTTGCAGTTGTGGATTTTTCTTTGATTTTTTATGCAAACGTTTTGTTTTGTTAAATTTTTTTTCTTAGTTGGTCTGTTATCCAAGACTATTTTATTTTGTCTGTTGTTTGTTTTTGTGGTATATTAGTACTGATCAATGTTTTTTATATGGTCTTCTAACTTCTTTGAAAGTCAACCACAGGGTTCATCATGTTCATTGGTGTTACTTTTATCATAAGTCGACTATGTATATTAAAAGCTGGTGCTCAATTTAAAATTTAACAATAAAAGTTAGGAAACTATTTACAGGGCAAGTATGAGTGTAGAACATTTACAAATTATATAAAAAACTAACAGGTAAAAACATAAACATGTTTTTTTTCTTACCGGAAATTGTAATGATATTACAAAGTCAAAGACGGGTTCAGTACAAATTTCCGAAACCAGATCGTGAAAGCCAAAGGCATATCTATATGTTTTACCATAGATGTATAATACATCTATGGTTTTACTGTATTATAAAGGAAAACAGATATAAAACAGATTATATAAAATATTAACATGCATACTTAATGGGTACATATAAACATATCTGTACCAGAGACATATAATACAATTGTATTATATGTCTCTGTCTGTACTATATCAAGGATTTTCTTACTATACAAATCCTTCACTATATTGATAGTTTTCTGAGTTCAAAACATTTATTTATCTAACTTCCAATAATTTTCAATAGCTCTAAAGTTTTCTTGAATAAAAGGCTTACTGAGATTACTATATGATATATGTGTTATAGAAGTCTTAGAATAAAAAGCCGGCCAATTGAACTTGGCACTTGTGTTTACCACTTCGAAATGTTGACAACTTATCAAAACTTTAATCATATAATCTTTCCCCAAAGATTATAAAAGATTATAAAAGGAACATTCACATATAAAACGTTGTTTATCTTTAACTTTATCCAACGTGCATCAGTTTTTGCATAACCTTTGTGATTTATCTATGCAGTTTTTCGCATATCTATCTATCTCTAATTTTAGGAGTGTGCACTTATTCTGATCTTGCATAGTGATTGCCTATCTTTAAATTCTTTTAATTCCAAATTTTCAAGTTTTCTGCATGTACCAAAAAAATAATTGAAAAATTAGTCTCCAGTTTGCCTTTATCTGATTTAACTGTATTTGGTCTTTCCAATAATTCAGAAAACTTTCACATAAGTTATCTTTAACTATATTTCATAATCTGTCAATAATTACATTAATGAGTTTGATAAGTCTAGTTCTTTTATTAAATATCAACACTTGAAAATCATGTTGTAATATATTTTAAGTGTTACTCTTCATTTCGAATATATGCGTCATATAATGCACCGTTCTTTGTGTTCTGTAAGCTGTGAGCGTATTTTAACATAGCCAATAAAATTAAAAAAATATATAGGAAATCTTCCCAATTCAGATAAAACAGCAAAATTACTGCATGGCTTTTCTGTTAACCCCAAGAATATATT